ACTGGTTGCTTGTCTGTCCTACAGAGTGCAGTACAAGTTGCAGGCCAGAAATCGGGTTATTAATAGCTTGCCAGTGCATGGCTATTTACAAGTCAACGTCTTCATGTGGTATTAAAATCAAAGAAATGTCATTGGAGGCATTGGCCACAACTGTCTGCATGGATTATTTCCTGAGAAGCTAATTGTTGCTGAGGTAGTTCATTGCTGTGTTTACAACAGACAACCACTGGTCTCTCAGCCACATGAGTCCAATCCTCCCATCTATGCTGTGTGTTCCGAGTGATATTTTAGTTCAGGCTTCCCAGTAGAAATTTCATGCGCGTTTCTTATCTCCCTATCCGTGCCATATACTCCGCCAATTTCGTAATTTTCTTCAGCCTCCTTACACCTCATCTCTCTTAGGTCCAGATGTTCTCAACACTCTGAAACACGATCAATCTGTATTATTCTTGATGTGAGAGATAGCCGTACAATACAACGGGTAAAATTATAGTTTTGTTTGCGTACAGTTTAATCGTCACGTTTTCAGGTAGCAGATGGGAAGACAAATTGTTTCAATTGCATGGTACCACGAATTTAATCTTGTCTTAATTTCTTTATTAGTGCACTTGATTTGTTTGTCATTCCCAAATGTTTTAACTTTACCACATTTTCAAAGACTATTAACTTTCTTCGTCTTGTCGTTCAGTTTGATGACGAGAAATTAACATAGCCTACACTTGGTTTCTTCTGCGTTTGCTTTAGTACCAACTTCGTTATATGTCGCATTTAATAAGGCTGAACCATTTCACCCACGTTAAGTGTTACCGATAAAAAATATTTATGACTATATATGAAATAATGAAATTGTGTGACATAACTGCCCGATTATTTTTGGCCGGCACTTGCCGAGCTCCAACAGAAAATATTTTTAGTAACCGAAAGGACAAAATTGACAGTTTTTTTTTAAAATTATTACTTTTTTACGTATAACGCCAGCTAGAATTTGCGGACCGGCTACTGTCCGCAAACCACCATTTGAGAAACGCTGACCATAGAAATTCTCTGGTATCCTCAAAAATCTTTTCCGTTGAGATCAGACCTGGTTCCAAAGTGGACAATCTCACGCAGCGCTAGTTTCTGGGCCGCCTGTTGAATCCCATGTTCGCGGATCATGTAATCATAGGCATACATTTTGAACGAAAACCTGTTTTGCAAGGAAAATGTTCAGGCCTTTCAGGACTCCGCTGTAAGCAGGTTTTACTGTTTTCCTCTGTTGAATAGTTGTCAATTTAGCTCCCATCTTTATTCATACAGAGTTTAGTTACTAGTGGAACAACCTCGTATTGCGACGTGCTGACTCACCGACAGTGAGTAAGATATTCACCATCTTGAGGTCACCAAAAATACATCGTATCCTGTAGAGAAGAAGGACGCTCTGAATTCCGTCTTGTCGCAGTTTCGCCGGGAGTCCTGGCTAGATGTTTCTTCAATGCTCGTGATAGCCAAGCGACATAAAAGTTATTACCGATGACCTATCCTCCGAAACGACACGAGTGTAATAAGAGTCCTTGCAGACATCAGACGCATGCCCTACGTACAATTTATGCATATCTCGCTATGAGGACCTTGTAAGATATTTGCTGACAGTAAATGTTGTCGTTTGGAAGTTGTTGTCACAAATTGCGACCTAGGTCATCTGAAGATTGCCTCCATAACAAATGTGATGTTTTATGCGAAATATGCATATATATGTTTGTTTTTCGTTGAAGTAGAAACATTTTAAAAAGAAGGGAGAAGTGTTGCCTGTCGAATCAAGAACCAAATCCTGTTTTTACCGTAAGACAGCTCGCCTGGCGAATGGCGTTTTGGCAGGAGTCCCTGGATTCGTCCACGTCCGTTTGCCTTTGAAATTCCTTTGTATTATGGACAGTGTATAAAATTTCGGTTGTTGATAATTCTCACCTCGTCCTTCCGACAGAACGGCTTGTCCATCGTCTTCTTTGCTGATTAATTTTAACTTTAGATAGGTCTAAAGCACTGCTTCATAAACTTTGCCCTTCATTACCCAAAACCGCTTATCAGAAAGTCCTTTTTACCCAATAACTGCGCAGAAAACATATATGACAAGTGAAGATTGATCGGTAAAAATTAGGAAGCAAACAATATTTTTGATGCAATGTCTTTATTTTAAACATCTCTAAACATTTTTAGCAGCCACAAAAAATTTGGTAATTATTCACCATGAATATTTCATCACCCAGGTCCCAGCTAATGAGTATAATGCCACTGCTCCATCTTATTTAGTAGTTCTGCAAAATTTGTAGCAATTGGAGACAGAGGACACCTCTCATCGTATTCGGGGTTCAGCAAACAGTTTTCGTTTTGTGTTCTTTATGAA